ATTTAGATGCAGAAGATGCAGAAAGACTAGAGGAAGATTTAAGAAGAATGCAAGAGGAGGAAACAGGATTAAGGGAGGCTATAAACTCTCAAGAAAGGACAGGGAACAAATTCAGCATTATGTTCAAGAACTTAACGAAATACATCAATGAGGAGCAGACCAGGGTAACTATGTTTATAAACAACTATAAAAACGGAATTAGCAAGACATTTTTAGAAGAGAACAAAAGAGTCTACAGGTTGAGTACATAGAAAGGATTTCAATAACAATAGACATGCTCGGATTATATAGGAGTAATTTCAAAGTTTATTTTTGACAAACAAGAAGCAGCAAAATGCATGCAAGAATTAAAGGATCAGGGTATAAAATTAACGTCAGAAGAGCACATGTATAAATTTTTACAACTAACGGCGATAATGAATAAAAGAGATATAATATTCTCAATAAAACTACCAATTTTCAAGAAGGGAACATATTCTTTGCATAGAATCATATCGTTACCCATGAATAGAACAGAAATTGTAATAATGCCGAAATACATAGTGCTTAATAAAGAAGAAATGTATTATTATAAGGCAAAATGTCAAAAGATATAAAATTTGTATACATGTAAGAACGATAAAATTGTAAATAAGGTTAACGAAGTATGCTTAAGAAGACTGATCAACGGGCAGGAGGCAAATTGCGAGACGAGGGATGTAGGCTTTAAGAGCAGTATCTTCGAGCCAGAGGAAGGATATGGGCAGGAGAGAACACTCAATGGTTCAGCCCTTATCACTTTCAGTGGGTGTAGGACCATGATTAATAACATCCAATACGAGGCAATAGAAAAACTCGGCTCGACAGAACTGAACTTGGAAATACCCCAAATTGAAGCCATGCAGAATAACAGAACCACCCAGGAAGTTGGGATACATGAGCTGAAGATGGGGGATATCGAAACTAGGATACAGATCAAAAGAATACGAACAGGAACAGCAAGGCATACAATAGTCACATACGCATTGCTAACTGTTCTGATGATATTAGTGGCAGCGGTAGCCTGTTTTTCAAAGAGAACGACCACTTTTACACCAGCTATGCCAATCACGACGTTCACGCCAACGGTTACCACCTTCACACATACCATCGCTCCACTATGGTCGGTAGTTCAGTCTGAGGGGGGAGGAGTTACCACCTCGGCATGTACCCTCGGCGGTCCCCCGCCGAAACCCCTTCGACAGCTCTCCAATTAACCCCTCTGGCAGTCTGCCAGTTAGAAGAATCTCAACGCAGCACTAAATATCGGGCTCACTCCACAGTCGTGGTCCAATATGCATCCGCTTCAATTACGGGCGTCCCGCAAAATCAGCACTTATTGTCAACCATAAAAGAAAGAAATCTAAATAAACTTCACTCTTGATTTTACCTTTGAAATTATCAGACGTCTTTATTAATTGTCACTGGCATTATTGCAAACCATATATCCAAGAACCTACACATACAAGGTGTGTGTCAAAAGTTTCCGAACTTTTCAAAAAGAAAAAAAACTACAAAATAGTTTGGAATGAAACTTTGCATTTATTCAAAATAGTCTCCCTCCGACTCAATACAACGATTTGCACGATTTTAAAGTGATTCGAATGAGTGTTTTTGCTCGTCAACCGGGATGGCCTTGAGTATGTCGGTCGTCGCCTTTTCAGTGGACTTTATGTCATCAAAATATCTTCCTTTCATTGCCAATTTTAATTTTCCGAATAGGAAAAAGTCACACGGAGCTAAATCAGCCGGTAAGAATGTGATAACGACGTCTTTCGAATGCTGAATGCGAACCGCCTTTTCGTGCTCTTTGAGTGTGTGTGGAACAAACCGTGCACAAACCTTCCGCATACCCAAATGCTCAATCAAAATGCGATGAATAGACTTATAGGATATCTCCAACTCCATTTCCATGTATCTCAACGAAGATTTTGGTTCTTTTTTGACAAAATCACGAACAATTTGAATGTTTTCATCAATAACAGCACTTTTCGGACGACCCGAACGTTCGTCGTCTTCCAGGCTTTCACGACCATTTTTAAAACGATTAAACCACTCGTAAGTTGAGGTACGGGATAGACAATCATCACCATAAACTTGTTTTCAATTTATGAGTCTCGGTGAAAGTTTTACCGAGTTTAAAACAAAACTTAATAACCGCTCTTTGCTCCATGATTTTTCGTCGACCAACTAACACAAGGTACTGTCACTTAAAACGCAATAATTCCAATTCCACTGTTCCAAATGTCTTGAAATTTGGAGGGAAAATCGGTGAATAATGTATCTTTCAAACGCATATACTCACACAAAGATGGCGGCACCAGAAAATGCCCTGCCAGAAAAGTTCGGAAACTTTTGACACACACCTTGTATATCTATAACTCGTGCAATAACTACACAACTTTTAATAAAGTTTCAGAAAGATAGCTTCAAAACTGAGAGACTAGTTTAAAGAGAAACGGACAGACGGACAGACGTACAGACGTATTTCGATTCTCATCGTGATGCTGATCAAAAATTATATACTTTATGGGCTCTGAGGTGTCTCCTCACCCATTTGCTCTGCAAGGTTATAAAAAGGAAATACAGTAGAATCCAGTTATAACGACTTTCAAGGGGCCGACCATTTTTCGTCCATATAACCGGAAGACGCACTAAGCAAAAGGAGGAAAAAAAACTTTTTTTATTTTTTTTATGATTGCTCTGCTCGAAATAGGTTTTTAAAATAAAACAAATAAACTTTTCAGTTAAAACGAAAAATTTTAAAAATTCATAAACATGGGTTTTTTAAAATCAGTATATGTCGATGATTATTTTAAATATTAAAATTATAATTATTATATGTTGGTACATCATTGTTTTATTTCTTACTGTTTCTCCATTCTTTCGTGCGAGGCAGATATATAGTTCTGTCAACGTAGTATGGCCGTGGGCATGAGTGATACAGATAGTGTATGTCATAATTCACCACACTGTGCGTGTGTATTAGAAAATGAAGAGGAATTGAAAAGACGCCGACAGGAGTTGTGAAGTCAGTCTGGTTAAAGAATTTGAAGAACATGCCACGTGCCAAAAAACGTTTCGCCGAAAGTCCAGCCGAAGATTCTGAAAATGAATCTTCGTCATCAGAAGTGGGATTACCTTCGCCTCCAGCCAATGATGCACATCTTTTGTCAATTTTGGAATTGCAAAATCGTAATTTCGCTGAACTAATAAAACAAGTGCAGTGCTCTCAAAATGAGCCAAAAGATGCCAAAAACCTTGTACTGCCAAAGTTTAACCCCGATCGTGCAGGATCAGACACTCTGTCCTGGTGTTCAACAGTCGACTACATCTTGTCTGAAAACCAACTAGTGGGTAGCGCTCTTGTTATGGCCCTCAGCAAATCACTGGAAGGCAGCGCATCTCACTGGCTCTCGCAGACATGTTTTCCCGGTATTACATGGACGCAGTTCCGAGAATTATTTTTGCAATATTTTTCTGGAACGGAGACTTTGGTCGCAACCGTTATGAATTTGCTAAATGCACGCCCAAACGAAGGAGAGTGTTTGTCGCTGTATGGGAGCAGAATGGTCACTTCGCTTATGGCCCGCTGGAAGTCACTCAGCGTCGAGCAGATTGCAGTATCTGTTACGTTGGCACATGCAGCTGGGATAGACAAACGATTGCGCCGTTTGGTTTTTACGACGGACATCAAAACCCGAAACGAGATGCATCAGGAGCTCAAAGCCTTTTCGTTTGACGCCAGACAGAGCCAGCATTTGAGTGACAACTTCTCAGCACCACAAGGAAAAAGAGCCAGGGCTATGTCTCACATCACGTGTTATAACTGTGATAAACCCGGCCACAAGAAGGCGGAATGTCGCTTTAACAAAGAGACAATTCAGCGTCAGCAGCTCCGTAATCAACAATCTGGATATATTGGAGCATAAGATCGATCGTCTGTGATCTGTTATAAATGTGGAAAAGCTGGACATGTATTTTTCTGCTCACCACGTTTCCGATTCGACGTCAAAATGAATGCGACCCTTCCGATTTCCAAGAAACGCAAGTTCGTTTCCGATGGTATCTTCAAGGCTGAGTTGAACGAGTTCCTGACTCGCGAGTTGGCCGAGGATGGTTACTCCGGTGTGGAGGTCCGTGTGACTCCCTCTCGTACCGAGATCATCATCATGGCCACCAAGACCCAGCAAGTTCTGGGAGAGAAGGGCCGTCGCATCCGGGAGCTCACCGCCATGGTGCAGAAGCGTTTCAACTTCGAAACCGGTCGCATTGAACTGTACGCCGAGAAGGTGGCCACTCGTGGTCTGTGCGCCATCGCTCAGGCTGAATCGCTGAGGTACAAGCTCACTGGAGGATTGGCCGTCCGTCGTGCCTGCTACGGTGTGCTCCGTTACATTATGGAGTCTGGAGCCAAGGGCTGCGAGGTCGTCGTCTCCGGCAAACTGCGTGGTCAGCGTGCCAAGTCCATGAAGTTCGTCGACGGTCTGATGATCCACTCTGGAGATCCATGCAATGACTACGTGGAGACCGCCACCCGTCATGTGCTCCTCCGCCAGGGAGTGCTCGGCATCAAGGTCAAGGTCATGCTGCCCTACGACCCCAAGAACAAGATTGGCCCCAAGAAGCCGCTGCCCGACAACGTGTCCGTCGTGGAGCCCAAGGAGGAGAAGATCTACGAGACCCCCGAGACGGAGTACAAGATCCCGCCACCCAGCAAGCCCCTGGACGATCTGTCCGAGGCGAAAGTTTTGTAAACCTAGTTTTACTGTTCATCCAATGAGCGACTAGCTTAAAGAGTTGCCCTCAAATACAACAAATTGACAGAAACAAAACAAAAACACACATAATTCAGTATCTACTGTGTGCCCGGATCGTCAGGAGCGTCCGCCGATCAAGAGTAATACCATCAAAGACGTGAACATATGCACCGTACTTGAGCCCTTAGGAACGTTGCTGCAGTTTGGTGAGTCGTTCCAATTTTACTTCGACTCTGGAGCCGAGTGCTCACTTATCAAACAGACTGCATCACTGAGATTATCCGGCACTAGAATAAAGAACGTAGTGAGATTGAGGGGTATAAGTGGCAACTCTGTTAGCAGCACTTTACAGATATTGGCAAATGTTTTAATTTGTAAGCGTTCTTTTGAAATCTTATTTCACGTAGTTTTAGATAATTGTATCAAATACGACGCTCTGATTGGTCGGGAAATTTTGAGCCAGGACATCGGCGTAACAATTACATCAAGCGCACTTACTATGTTTAACACAAGGTCTGTATTGCCTGTCGTAGTTTCCGAATTCACTCCTGACCTGGCTGATATTGATACCGATTTGCATAGACAAGACAAAGATAAACTGCTATCAATATTACAGGGGTATTCAAATTCGTTCATAAACGGTATCCCACAGAGCCGCGTGACTACGGGACAGCTAGAGATTCGCTTGATTGATCAAAATAAGACGGTTCAGAGGCGCCCTTACCAATTGAGTGTGGAAGAAAAAGAAAAGGTTAGACATTCCATTCAAGAGATGTTGGATGCAAACATAATAAGGCCCAGTTCCTCTCCCTTCGCGAGTCCGAAGTTACTTGTCCGTAAGAAAAATGGTACAGACCGTCTTTGTGTTGATTACATACAAGCTCTATTGAACGGACGGCGTTTGTAACCCCAGAAGGGCAGTACGAATACTTGGCTATGCCTTTCGGGCTTAAAAATGCGCCTTCTGTATTCCAAAGGGCTATTAATCGTGCCCTAGGTGATCTGACTTATACATATGCCATTGTTTACATGCACGATGTAATGGTAGTTGCACGAACAAAGGAGGAAGCTTTCAATAGACTACAAATTACTTTACAAGCACTCGCTGAAGCAGGATTTTCTTTCAACTTAAAAAAATGTTCCTTTCTTAAATCTTGTGTCGAATATTTGGGCTTCGAAGTTAGAGCAGGTGAAATTCGTCCGAATCCTAGGAAAATACAAGCTCTTATAGATTTACGCCTCCGCAATCTGTAACTCAACTGAGACAATTTATTGGACTGGTATTTTCGTCAATTCGTACCCAAATTTTCACAGTTACTAAAACCCCTCTATGCTCTTACTTCAAAAAGTATGTCATTTTTATGGGAATTGGAGCACGAGCAAATACGACAGAAAGTAATTTCTATCCTGACTAGGGAACCTGTTCTTACTATCTTCGATCCACAATTCCCTATTGAGCTTCATACAGATGCAAGTGCTGTCGGGTATGGCGCAATTTTATTGCACAAAATCGAACACAAGCCAAGAGTTATCGAATAACGGAGTAAACGGACTTCATCAGCGGAATCTCGTTACCATTCTTATGAGCTGGAAACACTTGCAGTTTATAATTCTATTAAGCATTTTTGCCACTACTTGCATGGTCGACATTTTGTCGTTTTTACCGATTGCAATTCGCTCAAGGCATCTCGTACGAAAACCGAACTGACTCCGAGAGTCCATAAGTGGTGGTCGTACATGCAATCTTTTGAGTTTGACATTCAGTATAGGCCAGGCGAACGAATGGCTCACGTGGATTTTCTGTCTCGAAATCCCATATCAAAAGATCGCATCAAGTCAAAAGGTACAGTGGAAAAACATATAAATTTGACAGAGATTACCGACAATTGGTTGTTAGCTGAGCAGCAACGAGACGAAGAAACGTCGTCTACTGTTTCTAAAATGCGTAACGATGATCTTTCTGAGGATTTGGCCAAAACGTACGAAACGTACGCAGGAACGCTGTACAGGAAAATCCAAAGAAATGGGAAAACTCGTTGTCTGCCTATCATCCCAAAGCCATTTAGGTGGTCAGTCGTAAATAATGTGCACGAGTCTATTATGCACCTTGGTTGGGAAAAAACCCTTGAGAAAATGTACGAATACTATTGGTTTGACAAGATGTCCAAGTACGTTCGCAAATTTGTCGACAACTGTATTACATGCAGATTGTCAAAGCCCCCATCTGGTAGGGTACAAGCCGAATTGCATCCCATACCGAAGGTTGACATCCCGTGGCATACAGTCCACATCGACATCACAGGGCTTAGTGGTAAAAATGATCAGAAGGAGTACATAATCGTGTCAATAGACGCCTTCACCAAGTTTGTTTTTTTGTCCCTTACAGTGAGACTAGATACAGAGAATTGTATTAAGGCATTAACATCACTAATATCGTTGTTCGGCGTCCCTTCTAGTCTGATCGCAGATCAGGGAAGTAGTTTTTCAAGCTCAGCATTCAGTGATTTCTGCTGTTGTCGAAAATATGAACGATGTTGATGTTGACAAAGTTAGAGAAATGGCTAAGAAAAACATGGAAAAGAGTGCCAATTACGATAAGGCTAGATTTGATAAGGATAAGGCTATAATTGTAAAACACAAAGTTGGTGACCACGTCTTGCTTAAGAACGAAGAGCGTCATCAGACAAAACTAGACCCTACTGGAAGGAGATCGGTATAGACTTAAGGCATTAACTAATAATAGAACATATAAATATTCTGACGAATTTTTGAGACGTATGCCTGAGAAGGGGATTACCACAGAGTTGGATAATGAGTGTGATAATGAAGAAATTACAGGACCAAATGGTGAAGGCAGTGATGAAGATGCCATTGATAAAGGCGGTGAGGGCTGTGACCTTGAGATAGAATAAAGAGATTGTAAACGCCCGGATCAGTTCCGTATTTCATGACTTTCTGTAGAGGTGGGCACCCGAGTTATGTGGTTCGCCATTTGCTGCAGTAAGGCTGAAATTTTGGTAATGATCGGAAATCTGTTATTTGGCCGGCTCATAAACTAAACTGCGAGCTATTTGTGATGGCCGGTTTGTTTGGATATAAGCTGTGGGCTAAATGAACTTGTGTATTGACTGGCCAGTTTATTTTGTGAATGACTGTGCGCTAGTTGTTGGCATTGATTTTTGAAAATGAAATGAATAATATGATCACCTTATTGCCATGGATCTCATGGCAAACGTTGTATGAGAGTAAAAAAAATAAGAAGAATAAGAGAAAACTTTGAAATGATTTTGTTTGATTTTGATTTACGAAAAAATGTATTTTCGCGAAAATCGCTTGAACTTGAATTTGTATAGAAAATAAGAGAATTGATTTTGTAAAACCTTTATTTTGTAAACTCACGAGGACGTGAGATAGGTCAGGTAGGCCGTGTCGCAGATTATTTTAAATATTAAAATTATAATTATTATTTTTTAATACATCATTGTTGTATTTCTTACTGTTTCTCCATTCTTTCGTGCGAGGCAGATATATAGTTCTGTCAACGTAGTATGGCCGTGGGCATGAGTGATACAGATAGTGTATGTCATAATTCACCACACTGTGCGTGTGTATTAGAAAATGAAGAGGAATTGAAAAGACGCCGACAGGAGTTGTGAAGTCAGTCTGGTTAAAGAATTTGAAGAACATGCCACGTGCCAAAAAACGTTTCGCCGAAAATCCAGCCGAAGATTCTGAAAATGAATTTTCGTCATATAGGTAGGTACATATAATGCGCATCATAAGCATAATACAAGTAACAAGATTAAATTATATACATTGTGGTTTTTCTTTTAAATTTTTAATTTAAAGAATTTGAATTGTAAAAAGAGTCGCGCACAGCGTTATTTAAACGAGAGATGCCGTGCGTTAAACTCTCGTCATTAAAATTTGCATGGACAAATCTATTCAGTATTTCTGCAGCCTTAAATGCCTCCAAAACGCTAGGTGCTGACACATTTTCATTTTGATCTTCGACATTGTCGTCACTATCCTGTCCGTCATCTAATATATTTTTAACAATGCTGTCTTCAGAAGGTTCCGCAACATCGCAACATCATTGTCAACAAGAACATATTCATCCAGTTCTTCCAATGAAATCGGTAGCTGTTTTTTAGAGCACTTGCCCAAACCGATAGGGGAATGTCATCTCCGATTTCAATATTATTTGAGAATGAGGTGCTGGGACTAAATTTTCTTCGGCAAGCCCAGAATGCTTAAAACAATTTGCAATTGTCATTGGCGAAACTTGTTGCCATGCATGGCAACATGGCATCAAGTATGGTAATTTTTGGGTAATTTTCATTTTTGTTTTCATCCATATTGCTGATTATTTTAAGTGAGAGTTTTTTCCGAAAAATTGATTTAATCACTCCAATTATGCCTTGATCTATTGGCAGTAATACAGATGTCGAATTTGGTGGAAGGAAAACTAGTGTGATATTCGTTAGGTCACTAATTGTGGGATGGGCTGGACAATTATAAACTAATAGCAATATCTTCTTTTTCTGTTTTTTAAGCTCAGCATTCCAACCTCGTACCCAATTAATAAAAATTGTAGATGTCATCCATGCCCGGCGATTACTATGGTAGCCAACAGGCAAATACCGAACATTTTTAAAGCATCTGAGTCGCTTTGATTTTCCAATAACCAATAATGGTTTTTTAAAATTACCACTCATATTGGCTGCAACAAGCACAGTTATCCTTTCCTTGGATAGCTTTTCTCCAGTGCATTTTTCACCTATAAATTCAATTTTCAATAAACAGATTTCTTCAAAATGATTTTCCTTCCTACCTTTAAATTTTAATGTTTTGTCTGGAGTTAATTTGTAGAACAGTCCAGTTTCGTCGGCATTAAAAATTTCCTCATCATTGAAATCCTTACGTTGTGTTGGCCAAATCTTTGTAAGCCACTCGCTTGCATTGATTTTTTCTACAGACAAAGATTCTCCAATGACTTCACCGGCGACGATATTATTCCTGACCTTAAAGCGGCTTATCCAACTAGCAGAACAATTGTTTAGCGAAAAAATTAGCTTTTTCCTGCGTTGCATTATGAACCACTGTAACAATGCTTTATCGACTTGCTCTTGAGTTGACGCTCTTATACGTTTTGGCTTAAAGACATTATTATCAAATAAAATTTTAATTTTTTCTTTATTTTTTTTTATTGTGGCAATTGTTGTGTGGCACACGCAGAATTCTTTTGCCACAGTAACGTTGGGCTCTCCGGCTTCCAAGCGACGAATAATTTTCATTTCTTCTTCTACAGAGAAGCACTTTCCTTTGAAAGACATTTTTCGGCTGTACTGCACAAGCTTCAAGCTCAAACTGAATGAGCTTATTATTGTGCATTTTGCATTTGGCGAATTAACGCATTCAGTTTTACTCGGAAAAAAGCAGAAAAAACTATAAATATTACGGGACATCCTCTGGAATAGGCTATGAGGTCTCCACACACAGTGTGACGTCGGCATTGCACTTCGACTCTCTCTCTCTTGCAGCAGCGTTGTTAAGGCGACAGCTAAAACTAACAGAGAGTTGTGCCAGTGCAAGATCCTTCGTGTCGCTGCTACGCACACAAGCAAGGGTGCCGATCACTGACAAATACATATGTACATTTCTAACAGCGTGTTTTGATACTTGAATTTGGAACTATGGCACTGTATTTTTTCCGGTACGACGCAATATCCGATTAAATTTTTCAATTTTCTTGAAAAATTTCGTTCGTATAAGCGGTTTGTCGCTTTAAGCGGATACGCTCTAAGCGGAGGGCCTTTCATATAAGTTAGTATGGGGACCAACCAGTGGCGGATTAAGTATTTTGCCGCCCTAGGCCCTGTCTGATTAGCCGCCCTTTTAGAGAATCCGTTCATATTATTTAGATATAACATTTATTTCATAAAACTATAATTGTTAAACAATAGGGGAGACCGGGGGGTTTTGAGACGGGTTTTGTTTTTTGACAAAAAATATAATAGAAAAGCCATTTTTCTGCCCGTACAAATTTTTTAATCATAGTTCAGTGTAATTTCACTCAGACAAAAGTATAATTAGTTGAAATTTTAGTTCGACCTTCAAGTTTTGCAAGCCTGCTCAAAAGTTGTTTTTTATGGATTTTCTCAATGTTCGGGGGTTGTGAGACACAAATTTATAAGAATGAAAATGGCTTAATTTTATCAAAATTTTTTATTTAAATCTTTAATAATTATATATATACATATATATTATATATATTATATGATCTACCAACGGACCGTAGCGGCTTTTTCTCGATAGCAACCTCTTTTATAGCAGCCACAAAAACATTGTCATCAATCGCAGATTTGGCAGTCTGACTATACTTATGACGCACCATGATGACTAAAGAAAGAAAAAACGATCATCAAAAACACTGAATCCATCAAAAATATCAAAATTATCATCAAACGTTTTGGTTGTGTACAGAAACACTATATCAGGCTATAAAATACAATTTTATGTTCCTAGATGACGCGGTAATAGAATGTCTCATAACCCCCCGAGAACGTTGTCTCACGACCCCCCAATAGCTATATTTTACATATGGCTTCTGCTTAATGGACGCATTAAATGTTTATGCAAAATTAGTTCCGGGTGTCAAAAGGCTACTCACCAAGGAATGTTTCGGATGTATGCACTCTCGCAAATAGCTTGTAAAACAAAGCGAAAAGACAGCAAAAACGAACGGTCTACAAAACTTTCGATCACAAAATTGGAGTTGCCATTTGGGAAGACATAAAGAATCGGCATGAGCGGAATATTTGTGATGTGGAAATGAAGATTGGAAACAAGCAAGAAGTTTCACAGTCAGCTGGTAGATGTCGCGCTTTTTAGTTCAGGGCTGTAAGCGCGTCTCACGACCCCCGTGTCTCACGACCCCCCGGTCTCCCCTACAAATAAATATCAACAACATAAATAACTGTTGTTATTTGTTCCTCGAGAACTAGTGAGATGTTCAAAAGGAGGCTTAGCAGGGGCCACCAGGCGGGTCGCAGGTTGCGGATAGCGAACGGCTTTTTTCATAAGGTTAGTTGATTTCATAAAGATTATGATAAGCACTTTTACGTCCTGTCAATTGTAGAAAACGTTGGTTCGAAACTTTTCTTCTCCAGAGAAAGCTGTTTTTTCATTTTCCCGTGACTCGTCAGCCTGAAGTTTTCGGGTCAAATAAATATTATGGATCAAAATTTATGTATTGTTCAGACTCACAACAATATCACATGTATGCAACTATATCACATCAATCGGTCGGTATATCTACATAAATATGTACTTGAATTTTAATAAAATTTTACAATAATTACGAATTATTGCTTTAAGCTATACAAGTTCGTTAATATGCGTCAATATACTTCCCAATATTGCGAAAATGAAACATCAATGTTATTAAATTTTTATTTTCTTCAAATTGTTTATATTTTTCAAAAAATTGACGATAAAAGGAATATATTTATTTGATTCTATAGAAATAATTTTGAAGAATAAAAATATTTTTATTTAGGAACAAAAAGATGAATTTGAAATGAATACTTATGTTGGGTCATGCCGCAGCCTAAATCCAATCACTAATCTCAAATCTTAACGTTAATTCATTTCTTGATGTTTGCCTTTGTTTTGATATTTACCCTGCGCGGCAATACTGTTCTAGTTGTCATTTCTAACTACTTTTGCGCTCTTTCGCTTATCGCTTCCTGGCCTTTGTCCACGGCAAGCTTCATAATAGTTCGATTTGGTACTCGCTTACGGAATGCACGATCGCTGATCGCCTGCCTATTCCTTCGCGTTATATACTTTCGTCTAAAGCGCAGACAAATCGGTCTGCCTGCTAACCTACCTTTCGCTGCAAAAAAGGCACAGACAAATCGGTCTGCCTTCCAACATACCTTATCGCTGTAAAAAGGCACAGACAATTAGGTCTGCCTGCCTAACCAACTGTACAACAAACAATAACTTTGTAAATTTGAGGCCTTGGTGCCAATTTAATAAATAAGTGCAATTTAAATCGAAATTTGTGCGGTTTTATTTATTTGGGCACCACCAAAGGTAAATGGTTAGTAAAAAAGCTTACTAACCCAACAACTTACATATATCAATTCATATATGAAACACCGGAATCATTGAAAATAAAATAAGAAAACATTGTTCAATTTTAGAAGCGTCTCAATTGTAAGAATAACTTTACTAAAGATACTACAAGTCAACAGAGCTTAGAAAATTCGGGAACGGTAGCCCAGCAGGTAGAGCGCTGGCCTCCGGTCCGGAAGGCCCGGGTTCGAGTCGAGCCCCAGGCTCCCCGAGAAAAAGAAACGGTCTCTTTTTCCAAATCTCCACCACTTCTATGCTCTATCGCTCACTTAACATTAGTAACAAATTTCGGCTCCCCGGACCCGCACACCCCCCCGTCCACGTTACTATGGACCCAACAATAGAATCTTCGTCACTCCTAGATGGCGCCAGGTGGCAACCCCACCGCTAGGATAAGTCGCTACTGGCTTATCACCGGTACGATCGAAAATCAATGATAATGAATCCTCTACAAGAAATTGTAGAGGCTCTAAGCTCCGGGTGGAGTAAAAGAATGTAAATTTTTTTCAATATTTAGTTATTTCTGTTATAAATATTTTTTATCAGTATTGCACTAACGGGTAAAAAAGTTAATCCATACTAATATATAAATGTGAAAATGTTTCTGTCTTTCTGTTACTCGATCACGCCTAAACGGCTGAACGGATTTTGATGAAATTTGGTATGGTGATAGATGATAACCTAGAAATCATAATAGGCAATAAATAATCACGCCATCGTTCTTAGGTGGTAAGCAGCAGGTGGAGAAACGGAATAATCACGCAATCGTTCTTATGGGGTAAGCAGTAGGCATTACGTTTTAAGTAAAAAAGTTTGCTTTATCAAAAATTGTTTTACGTTGTAGTTTTTAAAACTCCCGTTATTGTTTTCGATATGCCAGGCAAACGTAAAACAAATCTAAGCAGTATTTCTAGCAGAGCTCGAGCTGCAAAAGTTGCTAGAGGCCAAGAATCTGAAGAGCAGACTCGGACGCGTCAGATGTTAGATTCTCAGCGTCATGCGACTCAAAGAGCTTCTGAGACTTATACGCAGACTCGGGCCCGTCAGACCCTGGATGCTGAACGCCACGCATCTGAAAGAGCTGCTGAGACAGTGGAACAGACTCAGACACGTCGAGTTTTAGATACCGAACGTCACGCGCAATTGTTTGCGGCAGAGTCTGACGAAGATTCACAAAGACGACGTCTTTTAAATGCTGAGCGGCAGGCAGAAAGAACCCATACGTTATCAATGAGAACGTGGGAGGCATTTAATGGTGCCTCTTTTGAGTATGACCCTTTGATAGACTATGCTAATCACCGATTGATTATCATAGGGAGAATGGATAAAAAATGCAGATATTGTGAAGCACTGAAATGGAAAGAAGAAACTCCAGGTATGTGCTGTTCTGGTGGAAAGGTTAAAATTCCATTACTTGGCGAGCCAGAGGAACCTCTCAAATCTTTACTTTTATACGACAGTAACGAATCCCGCCGGTTTTTAAGCAGGATTATAAAGTATAATTCTTGCTTTCAGATGACATCATTTGGTGTAGATAAGGAGGTCGTAATGCCTGGTTTTTTACCTACTTTTACCATCCAAGGACAGGTGTATCACAGAATTGGTTCCTTACTTCCCGAAAATAATGAACAACCAAAGTTTTTGCAACTTTATTTTATGGGCGATGAAGAAAATGAAGCTGATCGCAGATGTCAAAATATACAAGGAATCGAAAGGGATACTGTTTTAAAAATCCAGAGAATGTTGCATGAACATAATCGCCTTATCAATACTTTCAAAACAGCACTAGAAAGAATGCCGGGAGAGGATTATAAGTTGGTGATGCACCCCGATCGCACACCAAGTGAGGAATATGAAAGGCGGTATAATGCACCGCTAATAAATAAAGTCGCAGCCATGGTTACAGGCGAAAAGTTTGCTTCTCGTGATATAGTTTTACAGGCCCGAGATGACACATTAACAAGGGTACCTGATACTCATAAATTTTATGATGCGTTGCAATATCCGATCATATTTAGTAAGGGACAAGAGGGGTACCACTTTCAAATTCCCCAAATTAATCCTGTAACAGGTCTTCCCTTGCATAACAAAAAGGTTTTATGCATGGATTTTTATGCCTACAACATGATGATACGAGAAAACAACTTTAACATTGTACAAAGATGCAAGCAACTGGCCAATCAGTTTTACG